TCAAGAGCCAGGGGATAGCTCATTGGTAATTCTCCCATCTTTGCCGGGCTGTAACCCGCGAACTTCGCCATCGGCAACGTTGGCGGCGATGGAATCACCGGTCTCGGTGGCAAGGCGGGAGGTGGCCAGAGCTCAAACTCACGCCAGGCGCCGGCGTCATCGGTGCCAATGGTGGGCTACTCTGTGACATGCCAGGATGTCCCATAGGTGGCTGCGGAGGATCGTATGCTGGAGCTGCCTCTGGCGGTGTCCCCTTTTCAATCCTCTCAGCAACCAATTTCATATTTTCTTGTAGCTTGTCCATCGATTCGAAAAGCTGGGTCATCAAATCCTGCAAGGCTTGGTCGCGTTCCGTGCGGCCTTTGTTGTTTCTCTTGAGCACGTCTGCCATAGAGACATCCAGTGCCCACTCCAGGTGCTTTTTCAATTTGTTGTATTCACCAACGACCGCACCCACGCGGCTGGTGTTGTGGTTCACACCAGCAGCCAATGATTCTGATGCCCTTGCCATGTTGTTGACAGCCGCTCCCTTGGCCTCTAGGCTTCGGCAAAGGTCCTGCTGAAGAGTATGTGTACTCTTGATAAGGGTCTCAAGCTTGTCCGTCGAACCCTTCAGCGCAGCGACCATCGAAGTGATTCCCACAGCCAAGCCCGTGGTAGAGTTCAACAGGTCTGTAGCATCACTGGGGTCAAATGGCTCATGCATTCTCAACCTTGGAGATCTCGATCTGTCATCATCTCTTCCAGCATCTCCTTCCTCCTTGTTGTGAAAATTTCCGACATCCGTGAGATGAATCCATTGGTCTTTTCTGCATTGGAAGAAGTGAATTTGGTTTTCATCTTGATGATGAACTCAACCGTGATGGTTGACATCGTATTTGCACGTTTCATGTTTTGCACGTTTTATTGGAGATGACGAAACCCAACAACGATATACTTTTCGTCTTTTAATTCATTTAGCAAGCTTTTGCGAATGATGCAGTGGAAACCACTGCATCTTGTGGCAAATCGATTACGTGGGTGTTTTGGTTGGGCTCTGGCCCCGTTCTGTGTCTGTTTTTGGTGTTGCTGTTTGCTTTGTTTCTCCGCTGGCGAAACGCAAGTCTGGCTGGGGGATTTGCGGGTCGTCGCTTTTGGTTTGCTGTTTTTTTGTGCTTGCGTGTTGGTTTGATCGATTTGCCGGAGGAGAACTTGATGACGAGTGGGATGTACTGTTAGCTTGCACAAAGGAAGCGCATGTGTATGGACCATCTCTCAGCAAACAGGACGACTGGAATGCAAGGGCTGGCACAATTGCAGGAACTGCCCACACACAGGAATACCTGCTGCTGCACATAGCCATGTTTCCCATAGGTGCGCACACCTGGTGTCGTGTCCTGGGCGTGCCCCACGCTGACCAAGTGCAGGCACAGATCATCAGTCGAGCCATGAAACTGCTGCGCTTCTGTCCCATTACCCCAGCGCATAGGAAACCGCCATGGCCAGGGTACACGCATGGCCTACGACTCTTTACTAAATTACTAGTTGCGCACCCGTTGGTCGGGGTATGCCTGCCTCCGGAAATCCGTCCAGCAGACTATCTCAGACTAACCGGATACATGGTAGGGTCTCTCTACATTCGAGGCCACAGCGCTGGCTCGTATGCAGGAATGGTATGGGAAACCATCCTTACGGAATTCCCAGATATTGAAGGCAAAAGCCATTGCTCTGCCACCATCGCTACTGACAGCACACCAGCTGTCCCAGCTCCGACAGGTACACCTGATTCACCATGCAGAGGACCGGCTTTGCGTATGGAACCCATCGCACCAAGACATGAAACTGCTCCAGCAACGAGGTTTTGCCATCACACACATCACAGGATGGAGAGCATACCTAGGCACTGCACAACACAGCTATTCGCACTGGACACGAGTTGCCCTTCCCGAGGGACGACCGGACATGGCACAGTTAGAGGGTATTCCAGGAGTGCTTCCCTTTGAGGTTTACTCACAAGCTCCCCTCCGCCTGATATCATGGTGCAGCTTCGAGCTCCCAAAAGCAGCCAAACGACTCCTGCGCGAATTAGCCCTTATGTGCGAGCTGCCTGAGACCACAACGCAGGCACTAATCAACCACATAGCCGTGCACAACTCAGAGGTTCAAACGGAGCAAGAGGCAACTCAGTATTTGGCCTCGTTGGCAACTGTTACCATTGCGTCAAGAGCCAAATTGCTCACCTATACCACCATGGTTCAACAGTTCCTCGGCACCCTGCAACTGCCCATGGCTGTCTACATGCTAGACTACTATCTGCCAATGCTCAGCCCCAATGAAGGCCACAATGAGACAGGGCTCACAATGCAAAGTGCTGGACCCATCCGCCAACCATGGCAGCCAATTACCTTCGAATTCCTTTTCAAGGGCAGCGAATTTGGTCACTCGAAAGTCAAAGGAGGGCAAGATGCATTTGCGTTCCGACATCCGAGCCTCGGCAGAACTGAAGTCTTCAGCCTCCTAGAGAGCGATGCACACCACCACAAAGTTAGCCCTATAGGCACGGGAAGACTTGTCGCAATGGTAGGCACCGCAGATGCTCCAGCCGACGACGGAAGAGACCTTCAAATCCTTTTTGGTTTAGTCCTTGCCATCACGCCACGCACATCCAAAAGCAAGGATGAGCTGCCTGCCTCCCGCATACACAGACAGTGCAACCCGAGATTCATTGAAATAGCCTTCCTCTCAGGGCCAGCCATCGAATTTTTTGCACAAGAACAGTTCTTGGCCCTACAAGATTGGTATGTTGCCTCTGGTCAGCGCCTGGAACCCATCGATGCTACTGTTCAGGGGCAGCAAAGCCCGCTCCCAGGGACTTTCTTCCTCCACACAATGTGGATGTTCGGATGCACCAAACC